CACATGTAGTGTGTGCATATGTGTGTGTGTTCATATGTGTATGGTGTATTCATTCATGCATGTGTTTGTGGGTGTGTGTGTTTGCATGTGTGTATATACATATACCCTAGTTAGCTTTCTATTACTGTGATAAAACGCCATGACCAAAAGCAATTTAGAGTTGGGCAGTGGTGGCACATGCCTTTAATCCCAACACTCAGGAGGCAGAGGCAGGCAGATCTCTCTGAGTTCGAAGACAGCCTGGGCTACAGCGTGAGTTCTAGGAAAGGTGCGAAGCTACACAAAACCCTGTCTCAAAAACAAACAAAAAAGCAACTTGGAGAGGAAAGGGTTTATTTGGCTTCCATGTTCCAACCACGGTTCACCATGAACGACAGTTGGTGCAGGAACCCAAGGCAGGAACCTGGATACAGAAACTGAAGCAGGGGCTAAGGAGGAATGCTGCTTCCGGGCCTGCTCCTCCTCGCTGGCTCACCTGATCTCCTATGCAACCCAAGACCACCTGCCCATCAACCATTAATTAAGAAAATGCCCCACAGCCTTGCCCACAGGCCCGCTGGTGGGAGTATTTCCTCAATTGAGGATTCCCCTTCCCAGATGACCCTAGCTTTGGTTAAGTTGACAAAAACTAAGTGGCACAGCAAGCGGGAGGAGGTGCACATGCCCACACGAGCAAGCATGTATGGAGGCAAGATGCTGACCATGGGGGCATTTCTCTATTGCATTCCACCTTGTTTAAAAGAGGTGTGTGTGTGTGTGTGTGTGTGTGTGTGTGTGTGTGTGTGTGTGACAGAGAGTCTCACTGAACCTGGCATATACCGATTCACCTAGACTGACTGGCCAGTGAGCTCCAGGAACCTGCCCCCACCCCTTTAGCACTGGTGAGGTGGTTTAAATGAGAAATGCAGCCCTCTCCCCGACAGCCCTGGCCATTTGAATGCTTGGTCACTAGTTAGTGGTGCTGTTTGGGGAGGTTGAGGGGGTGTGGCTTTATTGAAGGAAGTGTGTCTCTAGAGGCAGACTTTGAGAGCTTAAAGACATGTACCATTTCTGGTTTGCTCTCTCTGCTTCCTGCTTGTGGTTCAAGATGTGAGACCTCAGTTTCTGCTCTAGCTACCATGCCTACTGCCTGCTGCCTCTACTCTGCCATCATGGATTCTGACCCTCTGGAACTATAAGCCCAAATTAACTCTTCTATAAGTTGCCTTGTTCATAGTGTTTTATCACGGTAATAGAAAAATAGTACAAGTGGGGTTACAGGTGTGTACTGCCACACACAGATTTTCGGTGTGGATTCTGGAGATATACACTCAGTTCCTCATGCTTTTGTCGCAAACACTTTACCCAATGAATCATCTTCCTAGCCCTCAAGAATTTTTTTTAAATATACAACAATCTACAATTCTTGGTCTATCATTGCCTAAGAACAAAATTTATAAATAGAAGAACTCTAGAAGTCTATAGAATTAGGCCTTTAAAACAAATGTAGTTATTCAGATTTCATTGAGAAAATTACTAACTTCTTTGTTCCTATTATACAGAAATATGTTATGAAAAATAATATTTGTTTAACTATGTAAAGATGTGTTGCATTTATTTATTCTGCATTTGTTTAACTATGTAACATCTTTGGCACCCAATTGGTCTAGTAAAAAGCTGAACAGCCAATAGCTAGTCAGAGGAGGGATAAGCAGGGCTGGCAGGCAGAGAGAAAAGGGGGAGCCAGGCAACCAGCTGGGGACCAGCCCACCATGGGCCAGCCAGCTGAGGACTAGCCAGCCAGACACAGAGGAAGCAGCAAAGCAGGACAGACAGTATGTAGATGAGGTAAATGAGCCTCGGGCAGTATGTAGATTAATAGAAATGGGTTAAGTTTAAAAAAAAAAAAAAACCTAGCTAGAAACAAGCCTAAACTAAGGCTGAGCATTCATAATTAATAAGTCATTGTGTCACGATTTGGGGGCTGGAGGTCCAAGAAAGCTTGCTGCAGTAATACTTACACTGAATATTTAGATTGTGCTATAAGCAGTTTAAGAACAATCATTATCCTCATATCAGCAACATTCACAAATAGTGCTCTCAGCCTTGGGACTGAGTCACTTGGACACAATACTTGAATTCCATTTACGTGTACATTGTCTTTTAAGGAGAATGCTAAATTGAAATTTTGGGTTGTACACACTAAATTGAAAAGATTAGTTTAATTTCAGAATTAAGCTAATCAGAGCATAGGGAGGAGAGTCAGACATCCTCTTCTCTGATGCTCTTATTTTACCAACAAGGACCTTGGTAAGAGGAAAGAGACTCTTTCCTGCTCACAGTCACAAGATGAGCTGCCAGCAAAGGTGAGACCAGAGCCCAAGTTCCAAGAGTGTGTCCTGGTGTTCAGGTGACCTTGAAGAACTGGTAACCTTTCAGCAGCATAGGTGATAGGGGGTGCAGAGAGGCTGGGAGCACTCTAGGGAGAGGGGTCAACAGGAGTGATGTCACAGAGCCAGGCTGTGAAACAGAATGATAATTGTGTTCAGTGTGTGTCCCTGGGTGAGGAGGCTGGAAAGAAAAAGATGAGATGTCATTGTGGGTGATGATAATCCTGATGTCTCTTGGAACACAAACGATCAAAACTGAAGTATGGGGGTTTTTGTTTTGTTTTTAGTTTTGATTTTACAATCTGCGGGGCTGTTCCATACAAGTATCTTTTATAACACCATGGCAATCATGAGTAGGAATTTATAGCTGATTACCTAATACCCAGGAGTTAAATGCTCTTTGCAAAGCTAGAGATTTGAACTGATGCCTAAAATAGAAATTCTGTGTATTAGGATTCTTAAAAGTGTGAGGTCTAGAGTCAGAACCCTTGAGTTCAAATCTTTGAATCTCCATGTAGAAACCATACAGCCTGGGAAACATATACTAAAGTTTATAGTTTATTATGTGACAGGTACTTTTCTAATATATAGACAATGCATGACTCAATACTTCAACTCATTTTCTTCTCATTTATTTTTAAAATTATGTCTATGTGTATTCGTCTGTCTGTGTGTGGGTATGTGAATGGGAGTCAAAGTACCTGAGGAAGTCAGAAGAGGGTAGAGTTACAGGCGGTGGTAAGCCACCTGACATGGGTCCTGAGAACTGATGTAGGATCAGTCCATGCTCTTAACCATTGAGCTATTTCTCCAACTACTGCTGTTTTTGCTCTGTCATGGTGGAAAAGTGACTACCATTCTATACAAACTGTACTTCAAATTTTTGACTTTTGATCTTTTCCTAGGCTAGCAATGTTGGACAGTAACACTGAGCCCATAGCACTTTGAACTTGAAGTAGTTTCTACTTCCCATAAGTCTTTCTGGATATAATCCCATTTTCAGTTGAGAGATCTGTATCATATACTTAAACCAACAATCCAATGAAATACATTGTATTGTTATTACAATTTCCAGTCCCCTCACCCTAAAAAATTGAGAAGATAGAAGAGAGAGGTGTTTCAGTAGAGAGGGTGGGAAATGCAGTTTCCAACTAGCTTTTCTGTTCCTTGGTTTATAACACAATCCCAACTCCTTGGTATCTAGCTAGCTTCCCTCTCTGCTGTAACACTATGATAGATTGAATTATTGTTCAAAAGTATTCACCTTCTGAGGAGGAATCTCCTTCCCCCTCTTGACCTTGGGCTCAGCCATGTCAATTGCATAGGCCAAGGACAGCAGAAGTAACAAACAGAACATGGACTGTTCTGCAGTCGGGCATAGCTTCTTGGGAATAACATCCCCTGGATAGCTCCAACGCCTTTAGCCTGAGATTCAGGAGACCACAGGACAGCAGATCCGTTCTCGCTAAGTGTTAGGTGGTTGAGTGACTGGAGTAACTGACCCCCCAATCCTACAGAACTTCTAATACCCCCACATTCCAATACTTGGAGACTTGTAGCTAAGAACCTAAATCCAGGGGCTGGAGAGATGGTTCAATGGTTAAGAGCACTGCTGCTTTCCCAGAGAACCCAGGTAGTCCTAGCACCCACACAGCAGCTCACAACTGTCTATAACTCCAGTTCCAGGGGATCTGACACCTTTATATAGACAAGAATGCAGGCAAAACACCAATGCACATGAAATAAAAACAAATAATCTAGATCCAGAGACTGAGGGTGTGGCTTAATGGTAGAGTGCATGTTTAATATATGCAAGGAAGGCACAGAATTCCGGCTTTGTACCCTCCCAGAAAATCTAGGTTCCTCTTGGCCTCCCCAGCGGCACACCAGCCCCAGTTTCCAAATGAGAAGAGGAATCTCAGACCAGAACTTAGTATCTTAGCAAACATTTAAAAGTGTAGTCAAGGATTATGTCGGAAGAGCTCGTACCACTCCTTTGGTGAATATACATGGTTGCCCCCACCCAAACTGTGGTGTTTCAGACATTTTGCCAGCAGAACTAGAGGTCTGGATCACATGCAATAGGATACCTATCATGTCCATTCAGAGGGATGCTGACATTCCACTCAGCGGCTGGACATTTGGATAGTGTGAGCATACACATTTCCATGTAGAGCTAGGGTGTGGCTCAGTGGTAGAGTACCTGCCTAGCATGTGTGAGGCTCCAGGCTCTGGTACCACACAAACATTTCCTACCTAATGACAACAGACTACACTGTTAGGTAATAACCAGATTGTAAGCCTGTAATTGTATTGAGTAATGGAGAGTCAACAGCTGTGTTCTTTAAAAATATGCATAAATCACATTTCTATAAATTGAATCTCACTCTAAATGCACCAGAGGACTATTTAAAGAAATGCAATCTTGAAATTTTTCATAAGAAAATAATCATGGGGCTGCGGATGTAACTCAGTTGGTAGAGTACTTGTAAATTAGGTAAGGAGGCTTGAGTTCTCTCCTTAGTACTGCCTAAACTGGGTGTTGTGGCACAAACCTGTACCCCAGCACCCTGGGTTCCACTATAGGGCAGCCTAGCTTCTCCACAGTAGCGCATCCATGACAACAGTATGTCAAATGCTTGGTATCAGTCTTTATTTCAAAAGTGCTTTACCAACACATACTAATCTTCACAACATCCAAGGGAGGTAGATAAGTATTACATCACTTTCACAGATGGAGAAACTGAGGCAGAGATTAGTAAACTGTGTTGAAGAGCATAATATATGGCACACTTGGGAAAGCATCTGTTGCTGTCACAGGTTCCTGGTCACCTTTCCCAAGACTTTGGAGTCCCATGAACACAAAGGTAGCGACTGCAGCATGGAAGCACATCACGGAAGCGTGGACTGAGGCTACCTCAGGCGCTGAATGAGCTGTCCTCTGAGCATATCCAGCACCAGCATCCTCAGACTTTCCACCTCCAGCGTGGGAGAGTGGAGGCTGTGGTGAGGGCAGAAGGGGCTGGAGAAACGGGGCTGGGGGGAGGGGAGACAAGAGAAAATACAGATAAGGAAGCAAGGGTGGGGAGGAGCAGGAGGACCACCTGGGAAACAGCCCAGCAGGAAGGAAGGCACTGCAGAAATGAAGCGCCCTCCCTCCGTCCATCCGAAAAGCTCAGGCGTCCAGAAAGGTTTCTGAAAGGGTCACTCTTAGCAGTGGCACCACGGAACCACTCCTCAGAGCTTTGCCAACTATAATGATCAGGTCCTTGCAACATTCCCAGGAGGCACAATCATTCCTTCCCTCTAGTCTAGACCAAGTGCTGATGTCACTGACTTGACCCTGCAGAGACCGCTGACACCTCCAATGTACTCTCCTACCCCGCCATCTCTGCTTCCTAGTCTCCTCTGACGTGGATCAAAAGGAAAATGCATTTAAAGATTATCCCGGCAAAACCCTTGGACCATTCCTAAATCGTGCACCCACTGGGTAGGATCCTGTCTTTGATTTTTTTTTTTTTTTTTAAAGGGCTGTGATATGCAGACATGGAGGTTACCAACCTTTTTCAGCCAGGACTTCTCTACTCAACATGAGACATAAAACTAAACAAACAAACAAGCAAAAACCACCTCGAATTGGTGGGTACCAACTATCTAGAGAAAAACTGGAGGCCACCCACCCCCCACCAAAAAATAACCCAAAGCAACTACAAAAAAAGACCCTCCTCTGCTCATCTTAGAGCAACCCAACGTAAGAGATATCCAATGTGCCTCTGGTGGCGATGGGGATGTTGGTGACAGAGGCAGTGCCAAGTGAGTCACGTGACTAAGGCCCTGGCAGGGCTAGTTCAAGCGAACAGGTGAAGAGGAGAAAGTCACTGCAGAGACATGACAGCCAAAGAGCCGAGAACAAGCACCAGTGTTTGTCCCTAGGCTCCTCCAGGACAGGTCATGTGTCCTAGAGGACATCTGCATCGTCCCTTCGGTTCAGTTATCAGTATTATTCTCTCACGAGTCTAGCTCTGAACACCATCCACTCCTCTCCAACAAAAACCATCACCAAGTCTGAGTCTACCCTTCACACTGGTCTCTTCACTACCTCCTCCTGGTCCTGACCCCTCACCTAACCAAAGCCAAACCCTGCTACTTGTAATCCCCAACTCCAGCCTCCTCTCCTCTCAGTTCCATCTTCTGATTTTCCTCCTGCTGCACAGTTTTGATCCAATTTGAAAATTCCCCTCTACCTCACTTTTCTCTCTCCCATCTACGTGTTATCTAGTGATATGCTCTGCTTTCCAAATCCCCACCTGCCAAAATGTCAGCTCTAAAGACTCAATTCAAATACCACCCCTCTATGATTCCTTTCCTTGTTTTTTCTTAGTTTTCTATCAACTAGAAAAGCATTTGACGATGTGTTAAATCCACAGTCCGCTGTGTAGAAACCCTCCCCCTTCCTGGGCAACGTCTATGATGTTGAACCATGTCTTAATATTTTTAATTATGTATCTTAATATGTACCTACCCCACAATTCATTTCAAGAAATGGTTATTGCATTTCTACCTCAGGTAATAGAAGGCTTGAAAATAAAATGAATGGGGATGTGCTGTGTTTGTTCATGAATGAAGATGCTTCAGCAAGCACTCTGTAACATTATCCAGGTCTCAGCATAATCTAAACTCTTGCTACGGCTGCCAGAGAAAGGGGAAAGGCAGCAGGTGGGACGGTGTGTTCCAGAACCAAGAGACCCTGCCTGTAGTTCTCCTTTGCTATTTACGAGCAACAGGCCGCGAGCCAGATGGGTTCTTCTCTGAGCATCAATTCCTTACTTCTTCATGGCTGTGTGGACTTAAGAATCAATAGAAACACACTCATGAACTCTGCACAAAGTGGTTCTCAATCTCAATTAGTCATAATCACCTATAAAGGTTCCAAAAATACTGAATATCAGGCCCCACCCCAAGTCAACTGACTCAGAACCCTCTGGAAGTGAGACTCAGCGGGACTAATTATTTATAAAATATTATTTCTAACACATAGTCAAATATTGCAAACCACTATTGTAAACTCATAAATACCATTAGCGGTACAGCAAGGGGTTTTCGGCTCTGGCTTAATTATCCTGTATTTGTTCAGTCAGGAATTAGTTCAGTACTTTTATAGTCCAATTAAAATGCACTACGGTGTGGGGAATTTTTTGTTATTCTATGTTGCTGTTTGTGAGTTTAAGTCATAATTTCTCAGAAAAGCATAACCAGCACATCACTGTATACAAAAGATGCAAAACTTACTAAGGTCCCTTTAAGTCCTGTCATTCTGAGGTGTGTTGAGCAGACTATCAGATCAGGCAAAACCTGGGATTGCAAGAAAAGCAGAAAGAATCTCACGCCTTTCTCTGGGATGTGCATATTAATAAGATGTTTGGATAGATCAGTAGGTGAAGCAAAGGCAACCCTCTTCATCTTACATTTGTGTTTAGACCTTTCCATCCCTGTCCTGATCCTGAAGGGGACACAGGGAGTCAATTTCTATCTTCCACATACCATCTGAACTGGAAACTTTAAAACCCTCCATTCTCTGAAGGATCCATTGAATAAAAACTAAGAACAGAAATCCTCAAGAGAGGATCCTACTACTAGTCTCTCATTGCGGGATATATCTAAAATAATGGACTAATTCCTCTAAAATATTTAAAATAGATTCAATGTACAAAATTGATACCTGCTTACGTTCTATGCAGTGCACAAATTGTGAGTCTGTGAGAACCTTACAAAACCTTACAGGCCCCAGGACCCAAATTCCAAAGCTTGGCCACTTTGGTCTACACTGGAGACAACCCTGTGTAGACCCATGCCCTCCCGGCTGCCATGACGTCAGCAGTATGCACACAGGGTGGTACACGCCACACCACGGTTAAAGAGCTGAACAGGCTCCAAACATTATATAGCTCAACTGCCTTGTTCTGTGGACAGGAAGCACCAGGTCAAGGTTTTAAGGAGTTAGCCAGAGTCACACAGCACCTCTAGGCAGAGCCACACTTAGCACACCAGCCCTGACCGCTCCCCCGCTCCCCCGCCCCGCACAGAACCTCATTCTCAGAAACTGATCATCTGCCTGGGCACTTAACTGTCACTCTGCCACTTCCAGCTACTACTGCCCCCAACTCTAAATGATTTAAAGGACCATTTTTTTTTAAAACATTAGGCTACAGCAGAAGCCTCAGAGCTCAATCAAAACACCCATTTATCCATCCGTAGCTCCACATATGTTAGTAACAGATCCTTAGAAAGCCTAGTCCCGACTGACGATGCAACACCAGCAATACAGCATTACCATCAGCTAATACCTTGATGAGCACAGCGAGAGCAAGGCCTTTCCTAAGGAGGTTAGAGACTAAAGAAAGTCAGGGCAACCACTCACTCAGTAGTAAAAAGTTGGGAGGGATCTGGGCTGGGATGGCAGCACCTTCAAAAACATACACAGTGTAAACTATAACATTTTAAGACGTTTTTAATAAAACAAACAGGATGTAGGAACCTAAATGAACATTAAACCCTCAAAGCTGTTATATCCCTACTTCTACTAAAACCACCATTGTGGGAGACACTACTTAGAAAGCCTCTTTGGGGAAAGCCTTGAGAGGAAGTTTGTGAGCCCTGTTAGGAAACGCCCTTCCAAAGGCTGGGCTTTCCAAACATCCATCCAGACTCAGAGTACAACACCAAAAAATGGAGACACAGCCACACGGGGCAGCCGCTACAGTGGGAGGCCTTTACACCTGGGTGCAAAAGCTCCACTGTCCGATGGAAACAAACAAACCACCACCAAAGAATGAAGTAGAAACCACCAGCCACTCCGTTATCATCACACTTGCATTTCGTTAAAATAAAATAAAATAAAAAATACAACACTCACACAGGGTTCTTCTATGAATTCTAATTAAGAAACATTACATTCAGAATGATAGCACGCATAGTGGTGGTCTTCAGAGACTGGAACAGCTTCGTGGCCAAGTTAGGGATTCACGGGGTGCAGCTGTTTACCTGAATGTATTCTTAAATAAGTGACTGCTACCACTCTAATTCACCTAGTCGTAGGTCTGTCACAGGCTACTGACCGCAGAGGTCACATCCCAAACTTGCCAGCACAGATTCACTACAAGGGCGCCATCCCCAAATCTTAGGGTGAATTGGGAAAGGGCCGGTTAAATGAGGAAACAGGCCACTCCTTGGTAAAAGTTTGTAATTTTCTTTCCCAGTACATCTTCTTCTTATTGAGGACTTCCATTTTGATCCTGTGTTCTTCCTCGGCCATCTCACACTCCCGCTCTATCTGCTGGATTTTGGCCACGTGCACCTCATTCATTTGGATCAGCTGCAGCTGTAAGATGGACATTTGTTGATGGTGCTCTTCCTCGTGCATCTTTTTTAAAGCACCTTCCTGAGGGGTTTTGCTCCTGTAGTTTTTATTGGCTGTTATTCTGACGGCTGAACACGAAGGTTCGGGTTGTGAGGTCCCCTCACATACTGGGAAATGGACGAACTCTTTCTCATCGTCGCACAGTTCTCTATTGGAAACAGCAAAGGATTCTGGAAACAATAACAGCAAAAACAGGAGCAGAAAACACGTTAGAAGATTTTTACAGGCAGAAGAAAAATGTCAGTCCAGTTCCAAACAACAGCGCCCCACTGCAGGATGACTATAAACCAGTGTCTGCATTTGGCCCTCATGTCCAGGTCCTCTGACCTCACTTGACTTTGATAAAGTGTTTCACTTTGTCACTGGGACATCTCTGGGACATGGTCAGAGATTCTGAGACAGTAATGCAAATTCCAAACTGAAACGGGCCTGACTCTGAGAAGCGTGAGGTCGTAGGATGGGGGTGACAATGTAAGTCATCGTGTTAAGTTCCCTGTCCGTCTGGTCACCTTGGACAGTTTCTCCATCAGCCATGAGCCTTTTGTTCTCTCTCAAGAGTGCCATGGGGCTTCCTGCCATTGGAGTCAGCCCTTACATCTGCTCCTCCTTGGGGAGGAGTCTACACTCTGGTCTAGCTCCCTGCATGTCTCTTTAACCGCCTCCACCTGGCTGTTAGCGTGCCAGCACCGTGGACAGGAGGCCGAGTTCGGCTCCCTTCCCCTCTCCCCAGCACTTGACAAACCTTGAACTCTCCTTCCTCAGTTAGCTCCTGACATTGCCCTCTCCTAAGTGCTTTCATAGCCACCTTCCTCTGACTGCCCCTCTCAAGTCTCCTTGGAGTACTGGGGTTCTTGTTCCATTCACCTGTTTCCTTTCCATCTCTGGCTCTATTCTCAATCTTTATAATCGGGTCCCAACCTTGCCTCTTCCTTGTTTTACTGTTTTGCTCTTCAAAATATCCTGTGTGCACTGGGGTCCTACCCAAACACTCATTCTCTGAGGTCATGCTGCTGTTCACAACCCTGGTCTCACTATTCCCACAGCTTGGAGTTAGGCTCAGTACTTACCCCACCCACCCCCAACAACCCACCCCCCCCTCACACTCACCAGTTCCTCTTTTTCAACCACCTCTGTGATCCCTGCTGGTTCAGGGCCAACACTGCTTGTTCTGAAACCTCAGCCCTCTCCTTCCTAAGTGCTCTCCTTAACAACACTCAGCACACAGTGCTCGATTTGGGCACCAGGCCTTGATCATTTCATTTATCCTTGGATACTAATTACTTTCCTTGGTACCTAGTGGATGGCTAGTAATACTTACTGGCCCGAAGACACAAAGAAAAGAGCACGTGGATATAAAAAGGTTCCTTTTGGTAGGTGCCGTGTGTACATTGGTATTTTTATCGGGCAATATTAGTATTAGAGAATGTCAATAAGAAAACCACTAACTCCAAGTTTGTGGAGTCTTTTTGTTTGTTTGCTTGTTTGTAACAGGGCCTCTGTCCCCGGCTGTCCTCCAACTTAACTGTGCAGTTGAGGATAACCTTTAGCTTTTCATCCTTCTGCCTCCACTCTCCACCCCATCGCCTACAGTGGGATTACAGGTATGTGAACCACCACATGTGGTTTTACATGCAGCTAGGAACTGAACCAGGACTTTCTCACAGTAGGCAAGCACTCTCTATATACCTCCAGCACCCCCAGAGACTTCTAGCTGTGACTCCAAGACTTTCTTGAGAAGTTCTACATTCTCAATAAAGAGAATCTTCTCCTTGGAGAAAAGAAATTCTAATTTATTAACAAAATTGATTACATTATATGTCTATTACATTATTCTGGAAGATGGGATGCTGGGAATGTTAATAGCTGCTGGGGGAAATCTAATTTATAATGCTCTGATAATGAAAGGAGAATGGCTACTTTCTGGATGATTCCACTCCGAGGGGTAAGGAAACAACTATAAGTAGTCTCTAATTAAGGCTAAAGGAAAATACAGAAATCTGAAATACTGAAACTTTGGCAGAGAAGGAAAAAAAAAAACAACTTTAGTATCATCTAGATAATGAAAATGTCTCTCTAGTGCTCCTTCCAAGTGCAACGGCTCTCAGTGTCCTTCCTACAAATTCTTTCTGTCTTCCTGGCACTAGTTTAAGCAGGTATTACACATGTCTGTCTCCTAACACTTAGAAGACTGAGGTGGGAGGTTCACCTGTGTGATGTCAGCTTATGCCACATAGCAGACTTCTGTCTCAAAAATAATATCTGGGGCTGGAGAGATGGCTCAGCTGCTGAGAACACTTGCAGCTCTTCTGGAGCACCCAGGTTTGATTCCCAGCACCCTGATTTCAGGGGAATCTGATGCCCTCTTCTGGCCTCTGTGGGCACTGTATGCATGTAATACAAAGACATGTGCAGGCAAAATAGTTATATACACATAAATAAAAATATTTAAAAATAAATATCTAACCGCCCCCCCCCCAAAAAAAAAAAGAAAGGAGGAAAGGCCTCTGGTTTGTTCCTCCCCTCAAGTCTCCAACTCTTTGGCGATAGAAAGTGCCTCTCACTTCACTCTCATGTAGAGCCCAGCACAGAGCCTGGGATAGCAGTAAGCACTGAATAAATGCACATGGGTCACATCTCTCCCTACCTGACACAACTGAGGGACTGACTGGAGACGGGAATGGGAAGGGGTACCGCTGAGGACAGAGGCCCTCGGATGTGAGGATCCACCCCAGTACCTCACCCCCAGTACCTCACGTTTCCTTTCTGATCTTAGATCTGAAAATGATTTTGTTTTGGAAACAGACACTTTTGTTGACACCTCTACCCTCACAGCTCAATCACGTGCCTAGGAGTCTTTAAAGTTCATCCATTCACAAGGTAAAACTTTCTCCCAATTCTCAACTACTCCCCTTTGTCTCAACAATTCTAGGCTTCAAGGACATGGGGGTGACAGTGACATCAGCTGCTGCTCAAGTGTACCACAACAGATACCAGTGATTTACAATCCCTCATTCAATGTCTACAACCCTTTGAGGACAGTATGACTCCAGAAAAACCAATCTAGTATCCAAGGCCATTTGGCTATATGAAAATCCAGGATTCTGATCCAGGCCTGCATAACAAAAAAATCATAGCATCTTAATGTCTATAAGGAAAGAAATGATTCCCTTTAAACTCTTTTTTAAGATGTGTGCTGACATACACATTCCAAAGAAAAACAGCCAGACCTCTTAAGAAGTCTGGCAGAAGACAAGACTTAAAGCCAGACAGACTGGTAAAGTAACTTCCAAACAAATATTAGCACCAATACATAGTACTGGTGGCTAGTACTCAGATAGGCTGGGTGACTCCTTAATTGGTAAAAGACTAGCCTGGGAATAGCAGCCTGCTGCAAATGCATAGCAGCCTGCTGCAAATGCATACCCTACCATCTCTCTCGCAGGTGAAACAATGCCACCCGAAATAGAAGACAACCCAACTCTATGCAAAAAGAGTAGGAAGGCTTTTCTGGGACTGAGAACACAGCCAAGAGGGTGTTCTATCACTTGGGTAATTTGAGTAAATTTAGCATCCGCAGGAGAAGCCTACTACAGCAACAAAAAGATGAGAAGAAAACTGTGCGGGACCATCTCCGGTTATTCTCATCAGACGCAGGAAAGAGATAACTGAGAAAATGAGAAGGATGCGGTGGGTGCGTACTAAAGGAGCTTACATCTTAACGAAAGTGAAAAGGCTGGGTTTACACATGGCAATGGAACTGGATCTTAAACATGCTATCCCAGGCGAGGAGAGCAAAAGGAAGAGCCAGCTGTAGCACAGGTTCTAACCTATGTGCGTTAAAGAGTACATGTGAGGGAATACGAAAGCATGGCAGACCCATGAGAATGTGACACAAGAGAATGAGAGTGGGAATGAGAACCAAAAGGGACACACACACACACACACACACACACACACACACACACACACACGACTGACACACAAGAGGAGCTTTGCACAGACCAAGCATGCAAGTGTGCCCTGACTGGAAATACATCGCAGTCCTCTATACCTGAGTTCACACCCTAAAAGAACAGGACTGGGCTCAACAGTGCTAAGGAACTTAGAATGAAATGTTCACACTTCATAATAGCGATACAATGCACACGACATTAAATATAACTTCTCCTAAAATATGAGGCTGCCACTGAAAACACCTAGTCCTCATAAATGTATTTAAGGCACTAGTGAGATGGCTCCATGGGTAACCCTGATGGCCTGAGGTGGATCCCCAGGATCCATGTGGTAAAGGTTAGAGCCCACCCCCCTCCATTGTTCCCTGACATCACACACATGCCGTGGCATGCACACACACAATTAAATAAACAATCTTAATGTATTTAAACTGTCATCCTACCTACCAGCCCCCCCCCCACATACACACCCGTTCCTCAAAAAGGATAATTAAATTAGCACAGATCACAAAGTCTGCACACTGGTAACTTTTAACTGCACTTACATGACAAACACTGGTTTTCTTACAAATACGTCCTTAAGTATATTCCTTCAATGGTAAGACCACTGTGTTCAAACACTGTTGAACATGTTCAAGTCTTTGACAAAGCCATGAATATCCAGAGGTTAGTAGCACAGTGATGCCATCTCCCATAAAAAAAATGTAGCTAGAGGGGGGCCTCTAGTGGAGTCTGCTAAACTCCATCCTGCTGAACATTAATAATAAATTCTAGCACATCTCTAGGAAGCCAGCCCTGATCGGCAGAGGAGACTATAAACTGCATGAGTAATTCTGAATGCTTACACCCACATTACAAAAGCTACACTGATTTTGAGATATATTTTAATCCAGTATATTTAAAAACTTAAACATGTAATTAACATAAAATTATTGATGAGATTCTTTTGTGGTGTGTGTGATTACAGAACATCTCAGCTTTGTCTGCTCATATTTCACTGCTTCTGAGCCGCCTGTCACTGTGTATCAGACACCCCAGTGTTGCAAATACAAAAGCAACACACACATGTGTCAAAAACACACAAGATGTTCAAACTCTCTACCTTTCCCCCCACCGATTTCCAGAAACGATCATGGGGAATCCGAGCCTTCCGCCATATCTTGTGTTTGTTTAATTTTATTACTACTTGCGTGTGGGAGAGAGACAGAGACAGCGAGGGAGGGAGTTGGGGGGACGAGCACGTGCACCTCTCTTCTAGGCCAGAGGAAGACACCAGATGCCCTGCTCCATCACTCTGCCTTATTTTCTCGAGACAGGGTGTCTCCCTGAACCTGGAGCTGGGTTGGTGACTCTGGAAATCCTCCTGTCCCCAACCCCGAGAGAACCGGGGTTACAGCAGGCTTTTGATGTGGGTGCTGGACTCTGAACAGCAAGCACTTTACCCGCTGAGCCATCTCTGCAGCCCCTTCTCCCCGCCTTCTCGACAGTCAACTGAAACATAAAATGAGTAAACTGAATTGCGAAGAGTTCTAGTGCCTCAACCAGGAGTGCTAACATCATTGGGGCATACTTCTAAACTGCCTGAGCACCAAGGCTCACTTCTCTCAGGTCTGTCACGGAAACAGGAGCTCTGGCTGTGTTTCAATAAACACCAGCAAAAAGGGAAGCCTCCAGTGTTACCTGTGTACAAATATCCAAGTTAAAATAATGTGCAGAGAGGGCTCAGTAATAAGAGCACTCGCAGCTCTTGCAAAGCACTAGAGTTTGGTCCCCAGAACCCACATCAGGCAGCTCACAACTGCCTGTAACTCCAATGCCAGGGGATCTGACACCCGCTCTGGCCTCCATGGGTACCCTGCATGCATGTGGTGCATATATATGCATAGACACACTAAGTCACATATACATATGTGTAAAATCAAATAAACCTTAATACATTTCTTACAAATGAGTCTCTAGCAAATGCCACTACAGAAAGAGCATCAAGAATCCATATTTTAGCCGGGCGGTGGTGGCGCACGCCTTTAATCCCAGCACTCGGGAGGCAGAGCCAGGCAGATCTCTGTGAGTTCGAGGCCAGCCTGGACTACCAAGTGAGTTCCAGGAAAGGTGCAAAGCTACACAGAGAAACCCTGTCTCGGAAAAACAAAAAAACAAAAAAACAAACAAAAAAAAAAAAAAAAAAAAAAAAGAATCCATATTTTGGCCAGGTGTAGTGTGCACACTTTTAGTTCCAGTATTTGGGAGGCAGATAGACCTCTATTAGCTCAATGCCAGCCTGCTCTATAGAAAGAGTTCCAGAGCAGCCAGGGTTCCATGAGACTAAATCTGAAAGAAAGAGAGGGAGAGAGGGAGGGACGGAGGGACTGAGGGGAAAAAAAACATATTTTATTTCTTTCTTGCTTGGAATTTCTATTTGCGTAAATGAATTGCAGTTTTTGAAAGAAAAGACAAAAAGTCATGAGATGAAATCTCTAGATACTACCTCAGACTTAAAAAGTGTGTGTGTGTGGCGGGGGATGTGTCCTGTTCCCCAAATATAACCCTATAAGGGCTGGTGAGATGGCTCACGGATAAAGCTATCTGTCACCAAGCCTGACACCTGAGGGCAACCCCCAGGATTCACACGATAGGAGAAGTAAAAAAATAAAAAGACTAGCTGCAAAACTGACACACAACAATTTTGTGTCTCGATCACACCTTTGCTAAATAAATGGCATTCACACGAGTGTCTTCCCTAGCATAGCCCAGGACCCCAGGACAGTCTGCCACATGAAAAGCAGGACTGCTAACTCATTCCCTCCACTCCCGGAACCACTCTGAGTGCACTGAGGGGACGTTCTGTGGCCAACGAGAGAGAAGAGTGACAGAAGGTCAGCAAAGGAAGTGTGTGCCCACAGGAGCAGCACGGAGGAACGAGAGAGCTGGCAGTGCCCACGCACACTGTATCTGCCAAGAGTTGGCTTGTCGTGGAAACCCGAGAATCAAGACCGAGACATGAGTCTCCTACATCAGGAAAGGATACACAAGGTCCATGACAACTGACCACGGTGGTCACCCAGCCTACTAGCCTGGACTTAACCTTAATCAACTGATTAGCAAGCAAAGTTTGAGCCATAATTTAGCTTCCTAGGATGATCTGCCCACAGGGGGAAGAAGTGTTAATCAAAAGCATGTATTTGGCTCACATGGTAATTACCTTTCTCACTCTACACAGCATTCTTGGTTTCAAACAGTTTCTTGTGACTTTTAATTAACAGGAGCCAGGTCCTTGGAGCTCTGTCTACTCTGGGGACACTGAATTCAATGTTCTGCAAGCTAAGAACAAGATTTCCCAGGCAAGTGGTTGCTGGGTCCTTGGAGCACCTCTGTGCAGGCCTGTAGCAACCCCACCAACCTCCCTCTGCTTCAGGGTGTGCCTTCGGCAGACTGCAATGAACTTTTATATAAAGGGGACACTCCTGTCTTAAAAGATGTGGGAATTGTTGGAAATGTATCTATATACATTCCCACTCTCTGCCTGCCTGGAGACATGAGGCACTCCTTGATGCTCACCTTTTGAAGCTACAAGTAACCATACGTCTTTCATTATAGACAGTCTCTTCCTTCCCTAAGAATTATGTGTGGCATGTTTTGCTCTTTCAACAGGAGCAAGCTAAAATTTAACTTCTGTCCCTAGAATTTCTCTAAACCCCTAGAATGCCACAAAAACTCTGGTTCACAATTATTACTGTGAATAAAACTATTGGTATGAATCTGAGTGGATGCTAAAAGGGTGTTTTGCTTTATTTGGTCTCTGCACTTTGATGCATTACTTTTTTAAGATGTGTATTTCTAGCCAGGCATGGTGGCACATGCATGTCTTTAATCCCAGCACTCAGGAGGCAGAGGCAGGTGGATCTCTGTGAGTTCGAGGCCAGCCTGGTCTACAGAGAGAGTTCCAGGACAGCCAAGGCTACACACAGAGAAACCCTGTCTCAAAAAAAAAAAAAAAAAAAAAAAAAAAAAACCAGTTATATTTCTTTTTCTCTCTGTGTGTGACTCTATGTGGCTATGCATGAGCATGAGGGTGCCTGCACAAACCAGAATAGGGTACTGATCCCCAGAGGCTGGAGTTACAGGCAGTTGTACGCTGCCCAATGTGGGTGCTGGGAACTGAACTCTGGTCCTCTGCCAGAGTAGCAAGTTCTCTGACCCTGGGCCATCCTCCAGCCACTAACCTCTGTACTTTTGTCTTTAAATGGGAAATAGTTTACTCATTCAGCATGGCCTTTTGAGTGACTTAAAGTAGTACCTAACACAGTAGGCCCTCGAAAATAACACTTTAAAAGACCGAGTGAACGAAATCGCCATCAAATCTCCTTTAATAAAATGGAAATAGTTTGAGCTAAGGAACCCGAGTACCTCATTAAGGAGCTTGATACACATGTGCTCTTTATGGTTAAGCAATAATCATCTCTAAGAGAGACTACATAAAAAAGGGAACTTTCTGTATGCCCTGTGTATTTAGTTTCCTAAAAATGAAGCATTTTACAATTCCAATGATAAGCTGTTCCAGCCAGCATAGCCCCACTGCATGGGGGAGGGGTACCTTGGGCAGCTGCATCCGGGTGGTATTCGGGCTCCTCCTCGGGTGGGCTCTGCAGGAAGTACAGCTGCTCGGGCAGCATGTTGCCGATCTTCTCCTTGCCCAGGACGTGGTTACTCAGCAGTGGGCTCCCGCTGCGCTTCACTTTCTCCCTTCTCTCATGGGCCATAATTTTTTTGGTCCGAGCCTTGATGTTCTCCCAGCACTTCTTCAGCTGTTTGAAATCCCGCAGCGACACGCTGGGCTGAGAGTTGTATTCGTGGGCCAGTGCCTGCCAGGTGCGCTGCTTGAGGGCAATAGTTCGCGCATCGCTTTTCTTACACTCCAACACATACTTGTACTTTTCTACCAAAGCAAGCAAGATGCTCTTCTCCAGCTCTGAGAAGTATTTGGCCGGTTTAATAATTTCGTTGTTTTGCATTTTCCACTCTTACTTCTCCTGGTCGTTAGCTAGCCTGCAAAAGGAAGTTTGAAGCAAGAATTACCAATCCCAGCAACAGAAGTGTCACAAATCACTGAGGCCGAATCCCTAACTTGGTTCCCTTCTTTATTTTTTTTTTTTTTTTTTTTTTTTTTTTTTTTTTTTTTTGGTTTTTCGAGACAGGGTTTCTCTGTGTAGCTTTGCGCCTTTCCTGGAACTCACTTGGTAGCCCAGGCTGGCCTCGAACTCACAGAGATCCGCCTGGCTCTGCCTCCCGAGTGCTGGGATTAAAGGCGTGCGCCACCACCGCCCGGCTGGTTCCCTTCTTTAAAAGGGGGCAAGTAACTTCTTTTTCATTACTGCTGAGCCAGGAACACAGCCAGAACTTCACTGAAAATGGGATTTCACATTCTCCAAGTTGATTTCCCAGGAGTCTTTGTGACACCTACATATCACTCTAATTTCCTAATTTATCTCTGCTTAATATAAGGAGCTGGTTTGTCTCCCAGTGTTAGGCAGCATTGAAAATAAACAGCTTACTCCTTTTTTTTTTTCTTCACAGATGAAGGTAGTCTAATCAAACAGATCAAGTTATATAAAAGCACTACCAAGATTTCAGATTCATAAAGAAATTGCTCCTGGATGTCTGATATTTTTGTTTTAATTGTTTTTTAGATTTATTCATGTACATGTTTTGCCTGTACGTATGTCTATGTACCACTCACATGCCTGGTGCCCAGGGAGGTCACAAGAGGGCGCTGGATCACCTGGAACTAGAATTACAGACAACTGTGAGCTGGGAATAGAACCCAGGTCCTTTGCAAGAACAAGTGCTCTTAACCATTGAGCCATCTCTCCATCCCTGATATCTGTTGTTTGTGGTTTTGTATCCTTGACCTAGGTGATGCACCTGGGGCAACCTCAGGTCCTTCTTCAAAACGAGAGAGGGAAGCCCTGCATGGCAGCTGATACCTGCAACCTCACTACCACTGCAAAGGCTGAGACAAGGGACTGCTGTGAGCTGGAGCCCATAGTAAGTTCTAGGCCAGCCTAGGCTACAGTGTGAGGTCATGTCTCAAAAAGGAAAGAAATAAATAAAAAATGAGGTCTGAAGGCCATTTATTATTCATTCATTCATTCATTCATTCCTTCATTTATTTATTTTGCTTTTTCCAGACAGGGTTTCTCTGTGTATCCCTGAATTATCTGGAATTCCCTATGTAGACCAAGCTGGTCTTGAAGTCAGAGATCTGCCTGTCTCTGCCTCCCGTGCCCCACCACCACCTGACAACCGAGAGCCATGTTTAAGACTGGACAGTGTTACGCAAACAATTTCTGTAATTTCAGAATTGAATCTGCATCCTTAGAGACAGAGTGCAGGGCTCCTCGCCACAACTGAGGGAACCAAGGGCCAAAAAGCTGAAGTGAACTGCCCAGGGCACAGAGATAGTGACACACAGGTGTCTTTTTGTCCCTGAAGACTAGTGTTCTTGGTGTCATTCTGTGACTGTTCCTTGACTTTGGGCAGTTTCAAATTATTCAACCCCACCCTCCTCTACGGTGCTGAGTACTTCATAAATGCCGTACTGCTCTGATGTGTACAAAACATCTTTTTTCCCCACATCTTCTGCTCACAGGAAGTTTCCTAAGAGATGAATCCCTCACGTAAGTGGTGGCAAACATGGCTGAGCCACAGCAGCTGCAGGAACTAAGTGAGCGCTGGTATATCATCCCCTGCTGGAAAGGACCAACACAGCCCTGGACCCGTTTATGTTCTCTAAGCCTCTGATCTTTCAGAGTCAGTGGACAAGCATCAAGATACTGATGGTGTGGTCCATCTAAAAGCGCCTACTTCTTATCAGAAGGACCGGGCATCAACTTGAAAGGAGTCCTGAGAGCTAGAGTGAGGTCATCCGAACACCAAGAGTGGCAGATACACCAAGCTCACTACATTGTTTTCTCAGTTATTTTGTGTGCTTGAGATTTTCCATAATAAAAATATAGGGGAAAGGCTGTGGCTTTTTTAAAATCTTCTTTTCTTTTCTTTCTTCTTTTCTGATACAGGATCTCATGTAGCCTATGACTTTAAAAAAAAAAAAAATCACATTATGGGGGGCTTGAGAAATGACTATTTCAGAGTGCCTGGTGACCTTCCAGAGGCCCAGAATTCAGTTCTCAGCACTCAGCAGAGTTCAGTCATGGAGCAGCTCATAATCAACTATAATTTGAGCTTTAGGCGATCCCTCCTCTGGCCTCTCCAGGTGCATGCGCGCACACACACACACACACACACACACACACACACACACACACACACACACATTTTTTTTTTTAATCTTATAACCATCCTATAAAAATCAAACATGAAGCCAGTTACTCTCACCCACGATACCTGCTGAGAGGGATCCTGTTGTGTCAAAATGAGCCGGAGCAGACCAGGCCAGCAGAAAGTCTGGAAACTGGGCCTTTAAATGAGGGTAACAGAGTCTGATGAGGGCCTTCACAATGCTCTACACCTCACCCCAAGGCAGGCTTAGAATGAATACTACCAGGGAGGGCTAGGCCCTCCGCCACCAGACTTCTCTCTTCACCGTCACACTGGGCACACCTAGTACCACAGTTACAAAGACAACCAAACACGTGCCAGAGGCGGGTGTGCCTCAGACCTTGCAAAGCTAAATAAGGGGCCATTTTTCTTCAAGGGCATGACCCTGGCTCCTTTAAACTTTCAAACCTGTGCTTTGATTATATGACTCTCATAGTCCCAGAGTGGCACTCAGTCAGGGCTCCCTTTCCCCACAGGTCAAAATTAATTCTTCGCCTTCATTAATATGTCTATTCACTATAATCCCATGTTTCCCAAACTAAAATTTGTGAACACAGGTCCTGCACAGCTTCCCTTTTCCATATCATCTCTATCTCACAACCCACCATGTCCAACCTTCTTTGGCTTTTACTATCGAGTCAGTGGGTACAGTGGGTGTCCTTAAAAAACAGATAGCTCCCAGAGCCTACTCTGACTCCCCCACACCAACACCTCTGCCTCAGCAGACATGATACGTCTACTCTCCCCATGTGTCCCCCATTCTCTTAAGAATGGCTTCTCTAAAGACTCAGATTTCTAATTGACAAATGAAAAGGGTTTCGGCCTATTTTTTTCTGTTAGGTGTAAAGCTATTTTATATGTAGCATATATTTGTATATGCTTACTTTCTAAATAAATATCTCTTACTTGACTATTGCTTCAAAAAAAATAAACCTCTAGAAGAGGAATTGTTGCCTCAAAAGATGAAAGCACTCAAACTGTCTTTGTAAACTGTAACTGACTTACGTCCCACCTACAGCACGCTAGTCTATCTGCCCATCACTTCCTCTGCTCTTGTTGCTAACATTCTAATTCCACCCAACCGTGGAGGTGAAAGACGTCCTTTCATTGCTTAATGTTCTATGATCTTGGCTCTCAGGCAAACAAACCACACTCTGAGGTTCGGTCTCTGTGACACTTGGTAGAGCTGAAACTGTCAAGTGGTTTAAGCATTCTTCCTTGCCGGGTGTGTGCAGTACCGCTGGCTGCCAGCAGGTGGTGATGGAAAGGGATGGGCTGGGGGTGGGAGTGTCTACATTTCAGAGTTCTGCCTTAGGGGTGGCCAGGTTGAGCCCCAGTAAGAGCAGATAAGTTTTACTGAGTTCTTATTGTGAGTTAAGACTGTATACCAAGTGCTTTAGGTGCAGTATATCATTTCACCTTCCCCTAAATCACTCTTGAGAGCATCATCCATTACACTTTAATTTTTCTGTTAAAGAAAAATCTAAGTACCAGAAGAAATTATACAACTGCTCTCAAAAGCAAATACCCAGAATTACCAACACCTGGGGACCATTAACAGCCTATTAACTAAACTGTTATTTAATCACTAGCTAAGTACAACCAGAGTTGCTAATTTACTTTGCTTAATTTCGTAGAACACCAGGCCTCTCTGGGCCATGTGGTTGTGTTCAACAGGAAGCTAAAAGGGACTCCAGTGTACGCCCAAGCTTTTGTACCCCTAAGTTTCCTTATGGATTACCAACAGTCTTGTGAGGTAGGCTGCTTAACTCTACAAACTCATTATTATTTCTATTTCCAATATAAGAAAGCTGAGGCCCAAGAACCTGCCGCGATGACAGAGACAGTGAGTGGCAGAAACCAGAGTCACAGCCAGCACATGTCTGCCAGGCCCGTATCCTCTACTCTGCCTGCACTCCTCTACTCTGCCTAGCTCTCTCCGTTCAGCTCTAGTGATGGTCTCTACTTCCTGCTAAAATGGTCTCAGTTACTTAGCAATCCAGGGAGCCGCTGGCAAAGGTCCAATGACAGGGCAGCTCGGGGGACTGTGTCTGCTCTGCCCACCTCCACTTGTTGGCTCTGCCCTCTTTCCTCCCCACCCCCTTGCCTCCATTACCTCCTCGCTCCCTCTTAAACTGAGGGCCCACATCTCCCCCAGGAATGTACCCCTCACCCCGTCTAATCAGAGCTCTGAAATAATTTCCCCAGCCGATCTGATACAAACCGGAAGTAACGACAAAGATAATGCAGAACTTTAAAGTGGTCCACACCCCAGGGGTAGGCAGCAATCCCACTACAATCCCACGGGAGCATCTGACTGACAGTGCTCATCAAACAAATAACTTCCCAAGTAAGAGATCTCTCCAGCAAAGCTCATCACTGGAAATACCAAGGCCAAAAAAGCATAATCTAGCTTAAAACTAATCCACAATGTCCGTAATAGGTTACAGATGGCAACTCAGCAAGCCTTCCCTGTTGGGTGAGCTTCTGCTAGAGCTGGGCTGCCTTCCCTGCCCCTACTCTGCTCAGCAGCAGCTCCTCCTTATGGATGCTGTTTTGTTAGTATACTCCCTGCTAGTATATTACATGGTTGTAATCCAACAGCAGCCTAGTGACCCTCACAATGGGCCCCAGTAGACAGCGAATGCATATGTACATTTTATATAGGTTTAAAACTACCAGCCATACGCAGAATATTATAAGACAAGGCGTGTGTTAAAGTGTACTAAAAGCTGCATTAAAGTAAAAATGGTCAATAAAACAGCAAAATCCAAACGCAGTCAAAGTTCCCCTGGGGCTTGGCAAAGATCTGAAGACAGGTCTAAATAAAAGAGCACAATAATTCTAATATCGTAAAAGAAAAAAGGGAAGCGATTAGCACAATTCCCAAAGCACTAACACTGATTAGACCACCAGAAGTTGATGACCAGGTACTAGTTCATTTAATATTCACCTTAAAGGAAAAGCCAGCTGTTTGTGAACTGAACGACTGAATGTTACCAACTTCCATTGCCACACGGTTAATCTCCAGTGGGCTGTGCTTGAGATTAGACATTTAAAGAAGTAATTAAGATTAAATGAGACCCTAAGTATGAGCCTTTGGTCCAACAGGAATAGTGCCCTAACAAAGAGACATCGGAGACCTTGCACACTCTCCCTCCTCCTCTGGACAAAGGGGGAGGGGCAGATGAGCATAGTATGAATTGGCAAGGACTGACATGCCAGGACAAGAGCCTCACAATGAAACCTTTCTTGCCAACACCTTGGTCTACTTCTCGGCCGCTGAAACGACAAGGGAGAAACTTCTGTGCTCAAGCCACTCAGTCTGCAGTATTTTGCTAGGGCAAGCAAAGAAGGGCTGATATGACAGTCTGTGGTTTGTAAGTCCACCAAGGGTGAAACTAAGTCTTAAGGCTTGAGCAAAGTCTAGAGAAATGGCGAAGACTTTGTTTCTATTGCCTTTTGTAGGGGAAAAAAAAATCACACTTTGAAGTTAATCCTGGTGCTTGAAGAGCTAGGATGGAGAACTCAGACAGGGGTCAGGACAGTAATAAGCTGGGCTCCCATGGTGAGGTGAAATGAAGCAAGACAGGGGTACCGAGAACCTGTGCTCATATCCTAACATGGGAGCTGTGCACCTCTGTGAGATGAATTAGTAACCCTGAACCCGCATGAAGCCCAGCAGTGTAAGAAGCAAGATCAGAGCGTCCCTGCACTGTGCTGCTTTCTGTTTGTTCCCATTTCAAACTGTTTCCAAAGTAGCATCATCTGTATAATGCATACCCAAACGCATACTGACCAGCCTTTTATTTCATATACATAAAATTTAACCAGTACAGAATGCACCTCTACAGACGGCTAAGCACCGCTCTAAAGTATATAGGGGACACAAAGATAAACCCCACATCTTGGGAAGACTACTGACACAAGCAGATGCCTGAAAGGAATGGCATTCAGGAACAGACACCCTAACAAAGGACCACGTGCCCTGGCTGCTCAGGGGAGGGAAGAGGGGGTCTGCCCTCTTGTGAACAAGAGACCATGAGTTAGACTTCTAAGGCTGTGAACAGGAAGAGCCAAAGGAGATAATTCAGATTTTTTTTTTTTAAAAGGGAGGGGGTGGGATAAGAAAGGCTCTGCACCCGGAGTGGACAATGTTCACAGGGAGAAAGAAGCGTGTTAAAGGACATCATGCCCAGGACGTGTCTGTGCACACACAAAGGTAAGGGAGGCAGAGCATGCAGAGATGCTGCACTGAGATGCACGTGGCCTGAATGAGCGACGGTCCTGGCTGGCATCAAGGTGAACGGTGCTCCCTAAGGTGGAGAGACTGCAGTCCCACAAAACTGAAACAGCACAGAGATCTGTAGTACAGAGAGGTGATACGGCAGTGTGAGGAAGAGCAGCAGAGATGTGCCCAGGACTTTGTTCCAGGACAGAGCTATTCCTAAGAATATGAACCTGAATGCCTACGAGAAACAAATTAGCAACAGAACAAAACAGGATTACAACCTGGGAGACATAAAGGACTAACATATTATATATGGACTTCGTGGGTGGGCCAAGCGACCTGTCATACACCTCCCATGGAGGCCTGCCGACAGGCTATAGTCTGTCCTAAAAAACCAAAGGCTATTTCCTGTTTTCTGTTACCATTCTGTATCCTGATTCAACATCTTGAAAATAATCATTCTTTGAAATAACCTAAACCCTAGCATATTAAAACTTTAAAAAAAAAATAGAAAAAAAAAGACCTCACCCAACCTCTCCTTCTTCACAAATGAGAAATCTAAGGCTTGGCACAAATAAGAGCTTCCTGGGGACTTGGTACCAGGGAGGGGACAGCCTGCTGCTGAAAGTTCATGGTTTGTTTCCAAGCTCTTTCCCCACATCTTCGCATTAAGGTGCCCTTTTCTGTGAGGTATTTTCAAGCCGTCCCCCCTGCCCCCCGCCATCCCATCTGCTGTGATTTGGATATAAGGCCCCTTGTGTGAGAGCCTGGTGCCCAGCTTGACATTTTCAGGAAGAACTGGAACTGTCAGATGTGGATCTAGTGAGGTGACTTCAGGACACGAACTAAGCACCTAAAGGAGAGAGTAGAACTCCAGCACTCCTTCCTCATCTTCTCTTGGCTCCCTGGTAAGCAATTTTTCTCTACCATGTACTCCCACCATGCCACACTGCCCTGCCATAGGCCCAAATCAACAGGGCCAACTGAATGAATGAAGACCTCAAAAAGTATGAGCCTAGCCAGATGTATGGCACACACCTTTAATCCCAGCCCTTGAGGCAGAGGCAGATGGATCTTTAGGAGTTCAAAGCTAGCTTCATCTAAATAGCGAGTCCCAGGCCAGCCAAGGCTACATAGATCCTGTCTCAAACAATCAAAAAGTATGGGCCCAGATAGCCTTTACCACCCAATTCCCAAACGCAGTGCTAGGGACCAAAGCCAAAGCTTCATGATGCTGGGCAAGTGTCTGCTACTCAGTGACACCCCCAACCCAGGCCTTTTCTTTTTATAAACCGATTAGCTCAGAGTTTAGGCCCAGTGACAGGAAGCTGGCTGACACGTCATCTGAAAATTTAAGGGCACTCTGTCACTTAGTCTGTGCCATGCAGCAAGCCCTCCTTTCTCCCTGTCAGTTCTTCATCTCTACATTACCACTAAAGCAGGTGTTCTCCAAGCCCCTTCCAGACCGGGCAGTGTTTTTCTGCAACCTAATTTCCACCACCAAACATGGATGGCATTTTCTGATTATTCATGAAGCTAGTAGGGGTTTGAACCAATGAAATAAAACACTGTACAAAACAATGGGATGTTTTCCTGGCATTTCAAATAGCCCTTCTTGCTTTAAGGCCATATGTAGGTTTAACTTTATAAATGAAGCAACCCCGGGTAATGCAGCTAAGACCAGTCATCAGTTCTCCAGTGTCCTGAAGGCTGTCCACCATGCAGCAGGCACTGGATACATATTTGCTGAATGCGTGTTGACACACACCTGCTTGCCATTTGTATGTTTTTACTAATTACAGCTACATGTTCTACTATTCAAAATATCTCTTTTGATAAGGAATAGATAGGGGAATTATAGTTTTCTGGTTTCTTGAAAAATACCATGAAGAGCCTAAAGGAAGTAGAAATGGCAGTTGTTCAGAGCCTCATGCTAACTATGGCTGTCATTTTCTGTTCACATGCTCAGACCTACCTGCCCAGGACGGGCGCTCACCAAGCCCCTTTCCTCCCCTCCATCTTCTTTCTTTGAGAGGCTTTGCATCAGCAGTGGCCTTTTCCTCTGTGTTAGCCCCCTTCCCCACTCTCTTCAAGTAGCCATAGAATGTGGAAGTGTTTATTTTTGCCATCTGTATCTGAGTGTGACTGAGACCGGATCCAGCCTTGTGTTTAAGGCAAGCCCCCACTCCTCACCCTCCTCTTCTCTGTCCTCCCACTTACAGAAACCCTTCTTTAAACTAGATGAGAGTTCTTAAAAGTCTTGACCCCCTCCCTTCATCTCCTCCACAGCTCCATTCTAAACCAGCCCCCGCCCGGCTCCCCTGAAATGCCTTTAGATTCATTATTAAAGCCTCCCCTGCAGGAAGCATTTCTGACACGCAGAAGGTGCCCTTCTGGGGGTGTTCCACACCATCCTGCTTCTTGTCTTAGCCAGGACACTCTCCTCCACTCCCACACTTCAGAAGACTGAGTCTCAGATCTGCTCTAGCCCGGGGCTATCAAGTACTCAGCTCTTACCACAGCATCTCTTACAACAATTTCTCCACACTACTATCCATCTGCTCTGTCAAGGGGGAACTGCACTGTGTGCGCATCTTTCTCATGGTAGACGATCATTGCTTGTTCAGACATATTGCCATCTCTCTACCAACTTCCTCTATCACTGTCCCATATGGGCACCTCAGAAATTACTAATTCTCCAGAGAGCTAAAGCCATACTAATTATTCCCCCACCATCTACAAGTCTCATGACATCTGGTGATTTCAGCCCTACTCATGGGGCTTCCCAAGCAAAAAAAAAAAAACCTCAGCATGTTCTCCAACATGAGCAACCAGTTAGCAAAACTCATCCTATGATTTACTTCACTATCTACTGCTGTCTCCCCTACTCTCACTGCTCATCTCTTCTGTCAGACCTTAATCTGCAACTGCTCTCCCGAATGCCCAAAGCATCTTCCATACAACCACAGGACAGGGTATCCTGCTTGTACACTGTGACACATCCCTGCTTGTACCCTGTGGCATCTCTTCCACTTCTTAAGTAATAAAACAAGTCCAAACTCCTCACAAGACACTCAGGGCTTTTCTAGATCCTTCTTGAGTATCAGCACCTCCTCCATCTGCCCCACCTCATGTATCTTTCAACCTAATCAGACCAAACTCACCCTCACGCCCTTAAATTTGCTATCTTCTCATGGCTCAGTTTATGTTGGACTTCCTCTGCCTGTAATCTTTACTTCAAGGTCCATTCAGTACCCATTTCTATCCTAACAGACCCAGCTCCCATGTAATTGTTCTAAAGCCTGCCTAAACTAATGCCCACAGGCCTGCTTATAAGTAATGGCTTTCCTTCCAAAATGAGTTTAAGCAGTGTAAGGTAAGTTATATTGGTTAACTGTCCTCTGCTCTTACTTGGTGAAAGCTGACGCTGGGAGTGGGGAGGCCCTGAACTGTCTGGGGAAGGCTGGCTCCTTCACTCTCTAACTAGGAAAAGAGCAAGCCACAGTGGGTATTAGGAACATTGTCCTTGAGAACAGGTTAGGAGATAAACCAACTTAACTGAACACGAAGCTAGAAGTTCATCCATAGAAAGCTCATCCACGGAGAGGCTGGAGAGGATGGAGAGGACCCTCTTGCCTAGGAGTCTCTCAGTTAGGAACTCCAGCTGACTGCCTCAGTTTCCACAGTTTGTTTCTGCTGGTTGTAAACTCCCAATTCGATGATGTTCTTGGTCTGCTGGTGTTTGTCCTTTACCTGAGAAGATGATCCCATTCTACCTAGGACTCTTGACTGGAAACTCCAGCTGCCTGCCTCAATGGGGCTTCTCCAGGAGATTTCTGCCGCATATTTGTAAGCCCTAGATTTGATCTAGTCTTGTGGTGGCTCTCTCAATTGGTCTACATCCAGTCTGTTGGATGTTGTGATCACCCAGTTTGATGTTTTGCCATCCAGCTACGGCCTTCCTCTATCTGCTACTCACTACTTAAGTTTTTTATTTTTGCTAGCTATCTATTAAATAATTCACTCATTCAACACTGAAAGCGTGACTGTTGTAGAACATGCTCCAGACTCTACCGAGCACAATGCAACTGCGTTTTTAAGGCAGGGAATGTCACAGCTGAGACTCAACAGCATGAATGAGATGAAAGGAGGTGGTCATAGAACATTCAGAATGTCTGCCCTAGGGCTCAAACTCAGTGTGAAGCGCACTGGCCCTGAGTCTCTAGCAAATGAGGTGACCCACTCTTCTATAAACCCACGGTCAATCATAAATGTCAACCAATAGCACATGCCACATTTTTTATAATTTGCTCTTTGTGTCCATCTCCCTCTCTGGAATGGGAAACTCCTGAGGAAATATATAATTTCTGACTCACCTCTGCATCTCCACATGTAGCCTATGACTCAGCAAAGGACTGGCACTCAGGAAACATTTATTTTGAATGAATTTCCTAATGGCCAGGAAATATAGTAAAATGCTGCTGAGTTTCCTGCCTACTACTGGAAAAAAGAAAAATATCTCTCTCTCTCTCTCTCTCTCTCTCTCTCTCTCTCTCTCTCTCTCTCTCTCTCTCTCTCTCTCTCACACACACACACACACACACACACACACACACCATAATCACAAAGGTAAGAGATAGCAGGGAAATGGCTGAGCCCCCAAGTTGTCGATCTCTCCCAAAGCACTTGCTCTTTCCACTCTGCATAATATTGGTTGCCCTTACCATCACTGTGGACCCCAAACCCTCTTCCAAGTCCTAGTTTAAAACAAAACACCTTTATCCAAGAAATCTGTCCTGCTCACTCACGGGGAAGGTGACACTGGGTAAGAAATCCAGAGAGCGCAGAGTGCCTCCCTGGTGGCTTCCCGCAGTGTGCTGAAGTGGCCAGCTCCACTGCTCTTCCTCCTACTGCAGACCCGGGCACCTTTCCTGTCTTCCTCCTTTTCTTTCCTTACAGTTCTCTCCATTCCAAACTGAAACTCAAAAGTTTCTTCAGTCCCACTGTGTCACTGAAGCAAGTGAAGAGAGGTCCCAACTCCTCTTCTCCACATCAGTTAGGCTTTTAAGCATCTTACAACCAGGAACCAACCCCTGCATCCTAAGAGGCGCAATGCTTTGCCAGGCCTAATGTTAGTGCCTGCATTTCATCGGAACACTTCCGCCCAGCTGCAGGAGTAAGGAGAGACAACTTCTGATCTTCCTTTGGGACTCCTCTCACTCCCCCCCCCCCCCCCCAGGGCAGACCTGTCTCAAGATGCAGCTGTGGGGAGAGGAAATGGATAACCCCATCTTTCTCCAGGTTTTAGAATTCTTTTTCCCCATTCCTTATCTCCCTCTCTGGCCTCAAACTCTCACAGCTGTCCTCAATCCTAACTCAGGAACTATTTTATTAACAGTCAACAATTTCTTGAGTAACCACACACCCGTGGCCTCTTCTGACATGTTAAAACCCCTACACAACTCAGGCCCTAATATCCCAGCTCCCGTTTTAAATGTGTGAAAAGATGTGTCTTCACCCTTGATCCATTCTCCTAAGTAGCGCAAAACATTTGTACTGTTAAATGTTATCACAGCGATAAAACATCCATTCTCTATCATCAGAACAGGCAGACTAAATTCGTGTTTCTTACTCCAACAGAACAATTATCCCTGCAATTTACAGAGCTACCTCAGTGCCAGTGCGATGATTTAATAATTCATGCCAACTGTTCAGGACCTGGGCCCTGGGACATGAAGTACTTAAATTTAGCTATCAGCAGATACACATTATCTCTCACAATAGTACCTGGGGGTGGGTATTACATCACACCCAACTCCCCCATTATAGAAACATCGACCCAGCAGCGTCGGAGCAAAGGAGCTTCCCCAAGGTCAGTCGGGCAGGGATGTGATGCGCTGTTTCCTCCTAAGATCCTCTGAGGGAGGGACCCAGCCCATTATCCTCAGGACCGGACCGAAGGGGGAGGGGGGGGGTCTCAATGGAGACAAGTACGGAAAAGCGGCGAGCGCAGTTCCCTGCACACAGTGGGAATGTGAGGACCGCGGCACCGCGGGCTCTGCTGGATTTTTTTCCCCCAGCGCCTCCCGGGGCCCCGGGCTCGGAGTTCCCCCTCCCGGGAGCTCCAGCGCGTCTGCGAGGCCCGCGCGCCGGCGCTTTGTACGCGGCAGGCCGGCCGGGTTCCCGGGGCACCGCGGCGCGCGCAGGCGGCCGGCGGCCTGCGGGGAGGAGGGCGCGGCGGCTCGGCCCCAAAGCCCGCCGGACCCCCCGCGCTCCCGCTCCGCCCGCCTCCCCGGCCCGCCGCGGCCCTCCCGGCCTCAACCTCCTACCTGCAGCGGCGGCGCGGCGGCCGCGGGTCCCGGGGAGGGGCGCGGAGGCGCGAGCGCGGCGGCCTGGGCTGCTCTGGCGGGCTGAGCGGCCGGCAGGGCCGCGGGCTCCAGGCGCCGGGCGGCCGCGCGCCCCCGGCCGGCCAGGCCCCGCCGCGCGCGCCGCGGCCACAAAGCCCCGCGCCGCCGCCCCCTCGCGGGCCGCCGCCGCCTCCTACCGCTCGGTGGGCGCCGCGGAGGTGCGGGAGCGCGGCCCCGCGCCGTCCCCACCTCCCCGAGCCGCGGTCCCACTGCGCTGCCCACCTTGGCCCGGGAGCTGCGGAAGGGGACTGTCTCCGCCAACAACAAAAGAATGCATTTTCCTACACTGGGGGATGTGGCAGTCACCCGCACGAGTTAGCGCAAGCCTCCTGACTGACGTGGGCCCTTGTCTTTGCAGACTCCAGGAGGCTAGGAACGGCACCCCCTCCTACTCTTGAGTTCATCGCCAACTTTTGTGGGTTTTTTTTTTTAATCGGCCGGATGTGTCTCCTAAGAGGGTGGGCGCGCTCCCTCCCCCAAAAACCCCGGCAGTGCCCACCAACCTCAGGACCCGCCCTGGGTGCCGACCCGGTGGGACCCAGCGCACGCGGCTTAAACAACTGTGCTGCAAGGGGCCCTTCTTCGGACAAGGCCTCTACCCCTCCCCCAAGGATGAAGACTCTTTCTTTTGCCCTGGATCGGTAAAGAAGATTCCAAACCCAGAGAAGGGCAAAAGAGGGTGGTTAGACTTTTACTTTTTACGCGAGATGAAACTCAACAAAGCATGAAGACAATCATTTAAAAATTTACAATCCAGTGGCATTTATTACACTTAAAACAGTCAGCAATGACCCCCTCCTAATTCTGACCGGTTCCATCAGAAGGAAACCCCCACACAAATTAATCAGTCGCTCCACTGCCTAGTCCTCTGAAAAACCATTAATCCATTTTCTTTCTCTATAGATTTACCTTTTCTGTATATTTCATAATATTTCATATAAATGGAGTCGTGTGCCTTTTGGGCATTTTGAGTGGCAATTCTGTGTGTGTGTGTGTGTGTGTGTGTGTGTGTGTGTGTGTGTGTGTGTGTATACACGCCTAAGCTTCCCAGGTTGGCCTCGAACTCACTCTAGCTCAGGCAGTCTTTGAACCTACAAATGTCCTGCCTAAGCCTCCTGGAGCAGGCCTGGTCTTGTCTGGCTAGGTCAAAGAATCCAGGTTATTCCAGGTTGTAGCATGCTTCACACACTTCATTGCATTTTATGGCTACATAGGATGGCATTGCATGTGTAAACAAACTATGGTTTGCTTTTCTGTTCTTACATCTGTTGGTGGATGTTGTAAGGGTTATTTCCACCCTTTGGCTAATATGAACTGGTTCTCTGAACATACCTAAATATGTTGCCTAAATAACCTGTTTCTAATTCTTTGGGATACATACTTAGGAGTAGAATTTCTGGGCCTTATATGGTAATATACTTATATGTGTAACTTTTTTGTTGCTTTTTTGAGACAGGGTCTCCTGTTAGCCCAGGCTGGCCTCAAACTTGTAGCAGAGGATGTCAGATCCTCCTGCCTCCACCTCTGGAATGCTGGGATTACAGGTGTGAGTCACACATCCAGTCACCCACAATCTTTAAACAGGTGATCATCCAGGGGTTTGACTGCAGAAAAAAATAGAGAGACACCCAAACATTCCCTGGTGTGGGGGCAGAAGCACCTATAGAACACTCTTGACTAAGAATTATAGCTGCTTTTTGTTCCTTATTTTAACAAGGACTTGTGTGGTGTCCCAGGAACTTTGAAATTGCCCAGAGAGCCAGGGAACAGACTTGATGGTGGGGTGAAGGGGGGGGTGGGGAGAATGAGGGGGGAGGGGTTGCATTCTATTGGAAACAAAGTTTATGACACACCATTCCAGAAGCCAAAGCTACTCACCATTTGCACGTAAGCTTTCCATGTAATTCTGTGCTAGAACTCCTTAAAGATAGTATTCTTAAATGAGAATGCAATCAAAGGAAAACTGCTGTGCTAGGAAATGAAATCAATTCAGATCACAAATTTTGAATGATAGGCAATAAAGTGTGGGGAAAGCAGAAGGTGTATGTAGCAAGGGGGCCTGGCCTGTACTACTTATTTCCACATGGAGTATTTTATCTACCTTGAATCTGTTTTCTCATTGCTTAAGAGAGAGCTAATGCGGCCTACCTGATAGGGTAGGTAAAAGCTACCAGCCTTGATAATCCCAGCACTCCGGCACAAAAGCAGGTGGATCTCTCTCTGAGTTTGAGGCCAGCCTGGGCTACAAAGCAAGTTCCAGGACAGTCAGAGCAACACAAAGAAACCCTGTCTCGAAAATACAAACAAACAGAAAACAAGAACTTCCAGCCTCAACCTCAGTAAATGATCAGTGCTTTTGATTTAAAATACTGAAGATTGGCTTGTGCCCCATGAAGACAAGCTGCTATGAACACAGTTGACCATGTGTTTCTCCTCAAATCAAGAAAGCAGGCTAACTTTAAAACGATTAAGGCCAGGGTAACAAGTCAGATCCCTAACACAATTTCTGCATCTCGTCTTACTCTGTTTCCTGACTCAGGAAGGCAAATTACCCTGGTCAGGTTTTTTAACATGGCTCAATCTTATCTGTCAAGTGGAGTAACACCTACTTAATAGGATTTGATGAGACGGTGCATACAGAGGGCTTAGCTCAGAGCTGGCAAATAAAAATACTATTACATGTATCGATAACAAAGCTATTATAAGTTCTCCAAGGAAAGTATTAGCAGAAGAGCAAGATCAACAGAAAGGTGAGTAACTCAAGGGAAAACTGGTCCGTTGGACAATTGCCTTAAGACAGCCCAGTCCATTCCCACCGTGGCTATGAGCACTGCACTGTACTCCGACAGTTTGTTGAGAATAGCTTTAAGCACAGCTTTTTTGCTCTGGCCCAGGCTTACAGAGCAGTCTTGACAGAGCAGCCGGTTTCCACAAAAGCTCTCTGAAGGAAAGAATATGAACTGGGCATCTAACCTGAATGCTGCAGCATTCTGAAAAATCACGATGTTCTTTGCAAATTGGCATTTCATTTATCTCTCTGCCTGTTACTATTTTGAGTGGACAATGTCCCTGAAATCTAACTGAGAATGGATATTAGAAAGTCCTTTTCTAGCAAGTAACAGAGTCTCATCCAAACTTGCCAGAGGAGGATGTTTATTTAATCTGAGGCGAATCAGAACTGCAAAACCAGCCTGAGCAGGACGTGCAGCTAATTAAAAGCCACTAGGGACTGATCCCCATCTATTTCGCTTCAGGCTACCAATCCTTCCTTCTCTTTCTTTTTGTTTGACAGTCTTGCTATGTAGTCCAGACTGGCTTCCAACTCTCCTGCCTCGGTCTCCTGTATGCCGAGATTACAGGAAGGCGCCATCATAACCAGTTTCTCAGTGTGTCTTCCCATGTCTCTCTTTCTTTATTTTCTCTGTGTTTTCTCTTTCTTTCTCTTGTAGATGAGCTCCATTCTCCTCCAACTCCCAGCCTGCTTCCTCTGCTTGACTATCTTGTACTCAGCCATAATGGACATCACTACCACCATCACGCCAGCCTATGGTAAGAGTGGAAGTGTCCTCACCCTGGGTTCCTGTTTACCCAGACAAAAAGCAAACAAACAGGCTGAGCCCGTTGTTTCAAGCAAGCACAAGCTAACAACATGTGTGCTGACTGCTTTTGGACTAGAAATCCACTTCTGATCTAATAGGTGGTTCTGGCATAGAGGATGGGACACCAGTTGAGAAATAGCCACCCCAAACAAAGGGGCTACAAGTGGAAGAATTCACCAAAAGTTAGCACAGGAAGAGAGATACTCTGAAATCCTTGCATTAATAGGACTGTATTGTTGGAACAGCAACAAAGAAAATTTGGGATAGAGTCATATGGCACAGAGATACAGATAAGTGTAACCCCGCCTTCTTTAAAAAAAAAAAAAAAGTCATCTTTTTTTTTAACAAAGACCATCACAGAAAACCACAGCTGGTTAAGGTAAAGAACAAGGCATGATGGGGTACAAGTGATCCAGCCCCAGTGGATACATCTATAACACAGCTGCACCTGAGGCTCAGGAAATATGATGGACAAGGGAGCAGAGAGAGTGTGAGAATCAGAGGACCCGGAAATGACAGGGAACCTCCACCCATGGTGCCTCAATAAATATGGCAAGTAAGGCCTGAACAAGGACAGCACCAATAGACTTGCCAATGAAGAAAGGAGAAATCCCAGGGGACCCCACTCCTACACAAAGAACTATAGGAAACTCAGGCATGCTGAGGTTGGGAGAATTCCTTCTTTCCAAGGATGACCACCTCCCAATTGGTTACCCAATATCAAGTGGTCAGCCTGAGATCGTACACAGAAGCAACACTGAATGGACACATCAGATTGTTTTTTTATATTTATGCACACACACTCACACACAACAATGACAAAGAAAATGAGACCTTGAATTTGAGAGGAAAGGAGATGGGAATATGGGAAAAAATAAGAGAGGTAAAGGAAGCGGGGAGATGACAATTATATTTTGAGTTAAAAAATATATTTTAAATTAGGATGAGTACTATAGAAGATGTTGGTGATATACTCTCTGGTGGTAGAGACAGTCTAGGAGATGTAGTTCAAATGCTAAAATATTAGAAAATCTGAAGTTATTGATGGATATTGACAATAATGAAGCAAAATTTCTGAAACTCAAATATTCCTGGAAAATCTTATTGACTACAGTGTATCATAGTATAAAGCAGAATACCCACATCATGAAAATGTGACAACATTGAATGATTTTTTTTTTTTTGGTTTTTCGAGACAGGGTTTCTCTGTGTAGCTTTGCGCCTTTCCTGGATCTCACGCTGTAGCCCAGGCTGGCCTCAAACTCACAGAGATCCGCCTGCCTCTGCCTCCCGAGTGCTGGGATTAAAGGCGTGTGCCACCACCGCCCGGCTGATTTTTATATATGTAAACCAATTAAAAGTTTCTACATACTAGGGCTGGAGGGATGACTCAGCAGTTAAAAGCACTGACTGCTCTTCCAGAGGTCATGAGTTCAATTCCCAGCAACCACATGGTAGCTCAGAACCATCTATAATGAGGTCTGATGCCCTCTTCTGGCATGCAGGCATACATGCAGATAGAGCACTCATACATAGAATACATACATAAATAAAAAAATTGTTTGAAGTTTCTACATAAATACTAGCTATGGAGGATAAGACAGTTGTTGATCTGTTGCAAGTACTTACATATGCTGTACATTTGCATTGTATTCAAAGGCTGTAGGGATGGTAAGATAATCAAGAAGGTCCTGCAGAACAGTGATTCTCAAGAGATGACTCTAGATCAGCTGTCTTACCTCCCATTTGTTGAAAACAAAGATTAAATTCATAAGTCTGACCCAAACAGAACCTTGGAGGCTGGGCACCATAAACCTTCCAGGTAGATCACTTTGCATACTAAATTTGAGAGCTAGTTGAATTAGTAGTAGCTGGCATACATCAACCAAAATGCCAAAGACATTTTTATGGACTTGGTCTAGATGATCCTAATATTTGTTTGGAAAAAAAAATGATCAAGAATAGCAAAGAACATTTTTCAAAAGACTCAAGATGGCATTTACCCTACCAGGTAGCAAAAAACTCTATAAATTTATAGGAATTCAATCTACATAATACAATCAAATAAAGCCCACAACAGATTTCTGAATGTGTTGGAACATTTAAAACCGTAAAACAATGGTTCTCAACCTTCCTATCACTGCCACCCTTTAATACAGTTTCTCATGTTGTAGTGACTCCCATTCATAAAATTATTATTTTTTTTTTTTTGGTTTTTCGAGACAGGGTCTCTCTGTGTAGCTTTGCGCCTCTCCTGGAACTCACTTGGTAGCCCAGGCTGGCCTCGAACTCACAGAGATCCGCCTGGCTCTGCCTCCCGAGTGCTGGGATTAAAAGCGTGCGCCACCACCGCCCGGCTCATAAAATTATTTTTGTTGCCACTCATAACTATAATTTGTTACCATTATGAACCATAATGTAAATTTCTATATTTTCCAATGGTCTTAGGTGACCCCTGTGAAAGGGTTGTTGGACACCCACAAAGGGGTCACGACTCACAGGTTGAGAACCACTGCAAAGGAGAGAGTTGTTAAGTCCACAAATGAGATTAGCCATCCGTTTAATAAAGAATTAACATTTCTCCTCTGCATCATGTAAAATGAATGATTCCATCTGGGGTTTAAAGCCACATATAAAAGACATACAAGTAGTGAACTAAAAATAGAACATGTTTAAGCGGTCAAGGACAGCAATGCTTTCTAATGTAGGATGTACAAAGCAGGGCTGGGAGTGTAGTGCAATGGTCGAGCACTCGACAAGCATGTCTTAAGTTCAACTCACAGCATTGCCCCCTCACACAAAGAAAGATACATAAAGTACAGCCGCATAGGACAAGATTGGAATTTTAACTATGTAAAAATTGACTTCGCATGACTAGCACCAGTATCTTCATTTCTAATAAAAGGACCCATTGAAGAAATGGCTGCTTCTGGGACGAGTGAAGAAAACATGGAGTAATTTATACACAGGGAAGTAAGCAATAACTAAAACACATACAAGAACACCAACCAAATAAATAATAAAAAAAAGTCCAGCAAACAAAATGAGGTTCTAGTTAAGACAGCAGATTCAGCAAAAACTCAAGCTGATTGAGAAAATGGGTTCTCTTACTTTCTGGAGGAAGTGTGAGTCGGTCCGGCTGTTCTGGGGGGACTATAGCTACAGGGATTTTAGAGTTCACAGTCCTGTTTAGCTACAGAAATTCTCTTGGACAGAAGTTTAGAAGGAACATGAGAAGCTAGAAAGATGGCTCAGTGAGAAAAAATACATGCTCTACAAGCATAAGGACTTGACTTTGACTCTCTAGGACCCATGGAGACAGCTGAGCACGGCTAGGCTTGCCTGTAAGATCAGGATTTGGGGTGCAGAGACAGGCAGATAGCTCACTAGCCTACTCGGCGAGCTTCCTCTTCAGGAAGAGACCCTGTCTCAAGGCAATAAGGCAGATAGTGACCCAGGAAGGCTCCCAACATCCAGCTCCTGCCTGTGCATGCATGGGCATAGGGACACTCAAGTCCATATACCACACACACACACACAGAGAGAGAGAGAGAGAGGGAGGGGAGAGAGAGAGAGAGAGAGAGAGAGAGAGAGAGAGAGAGAGAGAATGAAGCATGACCAAGGTTTTAACCAAAGCATATTTTAAATGCACACACAAATCAAAATACCTACCAAAAAAAGGAAACGATGAAGTGAGCTAAGGGCTAGTCACAGTGTAGAAAAACATGTTATATCATCTGCAGGGGTGTCAGCAACTACAGACATCATCATTTTGTGTATCATTAAGAAAGAAAATGTGTCTAATTAAACTATGGCCAAAACTTTTGTGCCCATTTGTAATTTTCTATTTCATACTTCTTGGGAAAGTTAATTGAGACTTAAGATGCAGATTTAGAATTGTGCACCATCCCTTTGCATGCGTCAAAAAGGAAAATGTTTATGAAATGAATTGATTAGGACATAGCTAAATTCTCTTCTTGGATCAGTGAAATGGCTCAAGAGGTAAAGCCGCTTGCTGCTAAAATCACCTCAGTTGAATCCCCAGGACCCACAGGGTGAAGGGAGAGAATTAAGTCCCATAAGCTGTCCTCTGGTCTCCACACATGTGTTATGATATATGCAAACGTGAGTGTGTATGTGTGTGTGTGCATGTGCATGTGTACAAACACATAAAAAGTGCTATAAAAAATTTAAATTTAAAATTTAAATCCTCATCTCTAAATCAGACTCTCCTAAAGGGCACACAGACTCAGATCCATCAGTAGTCCGGGCTGCTAACCTCCATTCTGTGAGTTTTGATGCATACCCAGCAGTGGATGACAATGGCATCTCTTCTGTTGCCTCACTGGCAGCAACTGTAAGAGACATACCAATTTTCCAGGCTGTAAAGTGTGAATGAGGAAGTGTGCCTTAGAATAATAAAGAGCATATGTAGTAGCTAAAGGAACCAAGGGCATTCACAGACGCCACCGCTGGATGCTTTAGTTCATATTGCTAAGAAAAAGCAACACTTTGTAAAAGCAAATATGCAGTACAATATTATTCAGGGAAAAAGCAAACAAACCTTGGGATTTCTATGGCAGACACTGGAAAATCGGGCAGCCATAGACTGCAGCTTTCCTTTACCATGCCGTGTTAGACTTTACACAGCTGACTGCTAGTTTTCCCGGGCTCTGTGCTGAGACATGATGTGATCAGGTTTAGGAGAGAGAACTGTAAGCAGACAGTCCCCTGGGTTTCCTTTCGTGAATGAAAACAGCTTGGCAAGCAGATTATGTTTGGCCTTTGCTGCCCAGTACATGGACACAGCTTCTAGAGAGGCTGCAATCATCTCCAGATCAAACAAGGGCAAGAGCAGTACATGGTCAACTCAAAAGTTGAAAGAGCCTGGGATCTTGGTGATGTCACTGAGCCTCAGCACTGAGCCTCACCACCTGAGGGTGTGCAGCCTGTCTCTGGGTAAAGTGTACATCCACGAACAGTTCAGTAGCATGACACACAGCCACACTGTGCAACAACTATTATCACTATCCATTAAGACATTTTCGTCATTCCGAGCTCTGTTCCCATTTAAAGCCAGCTCTGTGTTCAGCCCCACCCCTCACCTCTGGCAGCCATTCTACTTTCTGTCTTCATGTTTTGACAAGTTCAAGGAGCTCGTATAAGTAGAATCATAAGTTCTTTTGTGCCTGGCTTTTTAAAAGATTTAATTTATTCTTTTTAATTATGTCAGTCTGTGTATCTGCATGAGGCTATGTGCGCAAGAGTGTAGGTGTCTGTGGGAGGCAAAGGTGTGCGATTCCCCTGGAGCTGGAGTATCAGGCAGTTGTAAGCCACCTGATGTGGGTACTGGGACCCGAATTTGGGCGGGTCTTCTGGAAGAACAGCAGGTGTTCTTTTTTTTTTTTTTTTTTTTTTTTTTTTGGTTTTTCGAGACAGGGTTTCTCTGTGTAGCTTTGCGCCTTTCCTGGAACTCACTTGGTAGCCCAGGCTGGCCTCGAACTCACAGAGATCCGCCGGCCTCTGCCTCCCGAGTGCTGGGATTAAAGGTGTGCGCCACCACCGCCCGGCAGTGAGTGTGGTCTTACGGCAAAGTACAGCAGGTGTTCTTAATCACTGAGCCATCCCTCTGACCCATCTGCCTTTTAAGTTTTTCACTGTATACTTGTCACACAAGCATAGTCCCCCCATACCTTTGTTCTACCCTTTTCCAATCTCCCCCACTAATAACCCCCTTTGCTTCTACTTTCATATCATACATACATGATTTTATATATCCTCATAAGATCTAAGAACTACAAATGAAAGAAAGCATACAGCAGTTGTCTTGCTGACTAGTTCAATATGATTATCTCCAGTTACATCCATTTTTCAAACTTCGTTTCACAGGAATGAAAAAAATCCATTGTGTACATGTGCTAGTTAGTTAGTTAGTTTTTGTCAACATGACAAGGAAGAGTCATCTGACCTCAGTGGAGAAAGTGTCTCTATTAGATTGCCTATGAACAAGTCTGTGGCGTATTTTCTTAATTAATAATTGATGGGGAAGGGCCCAGCATATTATGGGTAATGCCACCCTGGGCAGGTGGTCCTAGATAGTATAAGAAAGCAAACTGAACAAGTCATGGGGAGCAAGTCAGCAAGCAGTGTTCATAAGTTCCAGTTTCCAGGTTTCTGCCTTGAGTTCTGCACCAACTCCTGTTCACAGTGGACTATAGGCTGTAAACTGAAATAAACCCTTTCCTCCCCAAGTTGCTTTTAGTCATGGTGTTTTATCACAGTAACAGAAAGCTAACTAGGACATTAAGTAATTCTGCATTTTCAGTCTTCCTTCCTCTACTGTTAAACACGTCCATTTATTCCATAACTTAGCTATTGTGGACAGTACTACGGTAAACATTAATGGGCAAGTGCCTCTATGATATGGTGACTTGAGTCCTTTGGTAACAGTGCAGAGCTAGGTCATATGGTAGATCTAGCTGAGTTTTCTGAGAAACTTCCACACCAATTTTCCACGGTGTCGGGATTAGCTTGCACCCCCACCAGCAGTGAATAAGCGTTCCCCTTTTGCCCATATCCTCCACAGCATCAATTGTTGTTTCTTTTTCTTTTTTTTTTTTTTGGTTTTTCGAGACAGGGTTTCTCTGTGTAGCTTTGCGCCTTTCCTGGAACTCACTTGGTAGTCCAGGCTGGCCTCGAACTCACAGAGATCCGCCTGGCTCTGCCTCCCGAGTGCTGGGCAATTGTTGTTTCTTAATGACTTCCATTCTCACTGGGCTAAGACCAAATGGCAGCGTAGACTCGTCTCTCTGAAGGCTAGTGACTTTGGACGATGTCTATATGTTTATTAGCCTTTTTAAGTTTTTTTTGTATAGCCTAGATATTTATTCTGTCAAAGATGTTCCTCCCTTTCTATCGGTCGTGTCTTTACTTGTTTCCATTGCTATTTTTTAGTTTCGTGAAATCCAATTTGTCATTTGTTTAGAAAGTCCTTGCTGTATCTTGAAATTATCCCTCCTTTTTCCTCTACCAATTTCAGAGTCTCAGGTCTTATATTAGGTTTTTGACCCATCTAGGGTTGACTCTTGTGCAGGGTGAGAGGTAGAAATCTAGTTTTACTCTTCTACATATGGATACCCAATTTCCCAGCACCATTTACTGAGGATGCTGTATTTTCCCCTATGTATATTTTTGTCATCTTTGTCAAAAAAATCAAGTTCCTGGAGCTGTGTGGGCTTATATTTGAGGCTGTACTCTGTTCAGTTGACTACATGTCTGCTTTACAGCCAGCACAACACTGTTTTTTGCTACTTTTGCTCTGTAAAATAACTTGAAATCAGGTATAGTGATACTTCTGGTTTTATTCTTTTTGATCAGGATTGCTTTGGCTATCCTTGGTCTTTTATGTTTTGTTTTTAGCTTATTTAATTAGTATAATGTTGTCACTGAGCATCCATAGTGTAATATAAATAATAATTTCACTCTTTTAACAGCTGGATAAACTTCTACTGTCTGTATGTATATGTTGCATTTTATCTTTGATGCAGGGACATTTGAATTATTTCCCTGGGCTTCTTTTTGAATGAGACTAATAAACTGGCTTCCTTTCTTGGGTTTTCATTTCAATTGTAGTTGAATAGATTCATAACTACCGCAAGGCATATGTGTAGAGATGTATGCATAAAAACATGGGGCAATGCACTGGATAATTATACAAGTGGGAATAGGACATGGAGGATACATTTCCTTCCATTTAAATCTGAACATTTCTAGTTTCATTCTCTCCCAGCAGAGGAAGTTAAACAATAGCCAGATCTTTGCATAATAGTGCAAAAAAAGTGGCTAGCAGAATTTGTGTAGCCTTGTGTATATGCAATCTGGCTGATTCCAACATATGTGTATGTGGATTCCTTGTTGATAGCCAAAGCTAAACATTTTCCTTTAGATTTCAGCAAAAAGTTTATTCCTGCTAGGCTGTGAGGAACAAGAGGAACAAGGTACAGAAGAAACCATGCTGTTCCTATTGATGCCAACACTGGGGGTGCGGCACCAAAATCTTTCTCTATTTTGTTCAATGCTGGGATGCTGTGGGATGTTCTGTATGGCAAATGTGTTGCTGATTAGTCAATAAATAAAACACTGATTGGCCATTGGCTAGGCAGGAAGTGTAGGCGGGACAAGGAGGAGAATAAAGCTGGGAAGTGGAAGGCTGAGTCAGAGAGACACTGCCAGCCGCCACGATGACAAACAGCATGTGAAGATGCTGGTAAGTCACAAGCCATGTGGCAAGGTATAGATTAATGGAAATGGATTAATTTAAGCTGTAAGAACAGTTAGCAAGAAGCCTGCCACGGCCATACAGTTTGTAACCAATATAAGTCTCTGTTTATTTGGTTGGGTCTGAGGGGCTGTGGGACTGGCAGGTGATAGAGATTTGTCCTGACTGTGGGCCAGGCAGGAAAACTTAAGCTACACTGGGACTCAGACTCAGGGCCTTGCACATTCTAAGCAAGTGCTCTACCACGGAAACATAGCCCCAGTGCCCCAAATAGATTTTAAACAAAGTATAAGTGGAAAGGGTTTTTTTGTGCCAACATTGTAGATGAGTATTATTCCAATGTTTAAGAGGCAATTTAACTTCTAACCATCTGGCTAAACAATAAAAACAAGCTATTACGTGACCTAAAGGTGACAAGAGTTGGCATGACGATTAGCCGTGGAAACCCTAGGGCCCGTACTACACAAAATACTGAAGTTATTTTACAGCTGTGTGATACAAGACTTAAATTGGGGTGGGGAGAGGAATCAGGCTGGAATTCTCATGAGCCTCCAAGGGTGTGGAAAGCTGCAGCCAAATGCCAAAGCCACATCTGGGTTAGCTAGCACCCAGTAACGGAACTGGTGCATAGGCAGGTGGGGGCCTAGGCAGGTGGGGGCCTAGGCAGGTGGGGGCCTAGGCAGGTGGGTGCATAGGCGGGTGGGTGCAGAGGCAGGTGGGTGCATAGGCGGGTGGGTGCATAGGCAGGTGGGTTATGCTTCGAGATAGCCAGGTGTTGTCCTAGCGGCACTCTGCTCTGTCTCTGACAGAAGTCGCTGTTTGAGTGGCTTCTCAGCTTCGAGTAGAAGTTTCTCAGTTGGCGAAAAAGTTTCACATTGTCAGTGGCTGGTGGAAGGGTTGGGAGGAAAAGCTGGTTCAAGAGGTCAAAAGAGGCAGCCAGTAGCTTTTGCATTCTCTGGGAAGTGTTCCATTACAGTTTAGAGAATAAATAAATGCTAGTCATTCTCCCTATTAGACCTCATAATATATCTAAAACTCTGAGTAGCTCTATCAACTATGTTACTGGTAGCAGAAACAAGTCCAAAACATTCATTGGTGGAATGTGCCAGTTGTAGTAGAATATTATTTTAAGGTGTGTTACTTTTGTTTATGTTGCATTTGTTTAACTTGGTGAAGCTGTGTTACTGTGCCTGTGTAAAACACCTGATGGTCTAATAAATAACTGGCCAATAGCAAGGCAGGAGAAAGGATGGGCGGGGCTGGCAGGCAGAGAGAATATATAGAGGGGGAAATCTGGAGAGAGGAACATATCAAGGAGCCAGCAGCCAGAGGAGGAGGACTCCAGGGGTCAGCCGCCCAGCTACACAGCAAGCCATGGAGTAAGAGTAAGATTTACAGAAGTAAGAGAACAGGAAAAGCCCAGAGGCAAAAAGTAGACAGGATAAGTTAAGGAAAGCTAGACAGAAACTAAGCCAAGCTAAGGCCAGGCATTCATAGGTAAGAATAAGCCTCTGTGTGTGATTTATTTAGGAGCTGGGTGGTGGGCCCCCCAAAAAGAGCAAAACCCCACAACAACAGCCATTGACTTAAATCTATTAGTATTGATTTTTTTAAAAGATTTATCTATTATGTATACAGCGTTCTGCCTACATGCCAGAAGAGGACACCAGATCTCATTAGAGATGGTTGTGAGCCACCATGTGGTTGCTGGGAATTGAACTCCAGACCTCTGGAGGAACAGTCAGTGCTCTTAACTGCTGAGCCATTTCTCCAGCCCCTAGTATTGATTTTTTATAAGCAGGTTAAAAAATGTTGGCCGGTGGTGGCGCACGCCTTTAATCCCAGCACTCGGGAGGCAGAGCCAGGCGGATCTCTGTGAGTTCGAGGCCAGCCTGGACTACCAAGTGAGTTCCAGGAAAGGCGCAAAGCTACACAGAGAAACCCTGTCTCGAAAAACCAAAAAAAAAAAAAAAAAAAAAAATGTCGGCCGGGCGGTGGTAGCGCACCCCTTTAATCCCAGCACTCGGGAGGCAGAGCCAGGCGGATCTCTGTGAGTTCGAGGCCAACCTGGGCTACCAAGTGAGTCCCAGGAAAGGCGCAAAGCTACACAGAGAAACCCTGTCTCAAAAAACCAAAAAAAAAAAGTCATTGCCTTTAAGCCCATTTTGTAGTAAGTTTCAGAAGGAATATGGCTTTTCTTCTTTGTATCCAGCACACATGAGATGTGTGTCTTTAATTTGCTGTAAGCTATCCTTATTTTATGTCACTGGATATGTGGTTCTAGGGCTAGAACCCAGACTTTTGAACACAGTAAGCATTCTACCAACTGAATTACATACACCCCATATCTGAGTGTATACATTTGCCTATGAAGTGAGTAACTTTACCTGACTCTGTTATTATAGGGATTTCAGAACACACACCCCATATTTTTGGTGTCTTAATTGTAGATTGCAAGTGATTTTCCTTAAAAGCATATGATTCTCTTAGTTCTTACTGTGTGTCAACTACAGCACTCATGTAAGCCTTATTCACTAGTAAAAGGAGAGGCCCTGTATAGTGTTTTCATAATCTGAAATGGACTAAGCTGACTTAAATGATTAAGTGTAGTTAGTAAAGACTCACATACAGTGTCTTCAGTTTTGAATCTTGAGTTGATGTGGATATGGAAATGGAATAAAGAAATTATTTTCTATAATCAGAATCTTTGTGCCAGGAATTCTTGCCTGGACAGTATGCCTACGTGATCACATAGTGATTCTATAAGTGGGCATTATTAGAGCATCCTGATGTTGATGTGGCATGTATGATGTTTTCCACCAGTGTGTGTGTGTGTGTGTGTGTGTGTGTGTGTGTGTGTGTGTGTTATAGTCAGCAGGGAGGGATGGGGTGAGTGGAATGAAGACCATGACTGAGAAACCAAAATAGAAACAAGTCCCTACCAGTGACTTTCCACTGTACAAACCTGATCCCAGAAGCACCCCAATAACGCTGCAAAAGAACATTGCTTCCTTTCTGGCCAAGTGCAGGAATGACCAAACAAATGGACCACCATCAGCGTGGCCCCTTGTACACCTGCCTCCAACCAGTCACACAAAGAGCGATCAAGATTGCCCTCATTTACATGACAGTATCTCCATGGTAGGAACAAAACTGGAAGGAGGTTAGCTCCCAAATGTAGACCATCAAGTTCTTTTCAGCTTTGCCTGCTACTCCTTTGCAATATGCGCAGTAAACTTGTCTTTTTTACACCCACCAATCCCCTGGTCATCTAGCACATTCTAACCTTCAGACTTGAATCTCATTTACTTTGCATGATCCCTAATAGTTGCTGGTTCCCAAGTACTGTCAGTAGAACAGCTGCATACAAGAGACCCTGACACATCACCCACTGCCGACAAAGAAATGATAGTGATCGAAACAGAACCTGGCTTCTCCTGCAAAGTGGAGCGCGTTACACTGACAACTCTCATATAATCGCTCCAGAGCCCTGTGGAATACAATTATTATCAATTCTATTTTATACAGGCAGAAGTGTGGACAGGTCACTTGCCCAAGACGTAGGCTCAGAACAAAAAGAACGTGAATCTGTCGCGCGGTAAAGCAGTTCCTCAGAACTAAACTGAACTAAAAAGTCAAAGGACAGACCAACGTGAGCTGTGAAAGGCACGCGGCGTGGAAACTCGGGCGAGTTCCTCGTGGGATCTCTGGAACCTCCAGACACCCAGAAATGGTCCAGTCAAAAAAGAACCCCAAAACACCACCACCTCAAACTCCGCTAGGATCTTCGCTGTTACAACTTGCTACAAACTCCACAAGTCCCGCCCCTTCTCTAACCACAGGCCCCGCCTGCGCAAGCGCACTAAGACCCGGAACTGGATTCAGAGACTCCACCGGACCGCGCCGAGGCGGCGGGGCCGTGGCCTATAGGACTGCGCGCGGCGGGCGGGGCCTTTGTGAGAGCCACGGAAAACAAAAACAAAAACTTTTCACCCGGTAGCTGTTCCAAGGAGCTTGAATTACCGGGGGTAGTAGCACTTCAGAGGCTGAGGCTAGAGGATTGCCACGAGTTTGAGTTCTCTTACTCTCTGCGGTCCTGCCCGTGATAAATACAACAAAACAAGCTGAGGCAGGGGGGTCCATCCCTTGGAAGCCCACCCTCAATGCCAACATCTCTACCTGAGACTGTAACGCAGCAGGAGGAAAACTGGGGCCTGTAGCAGGGTTCCTGTCTGCACTCTGCAGATAAATGACACCCACATTGTCTCGAGGGACAGCATTCCGCTCTTAGCTGACTCTCCAGGTACCTGTACCCAGCCCATCCACACTCATCCAGGGATTATGCAAT